GTAGTGACAGTAGTTGATGGAGTTCTCTGTGATCCATTGGATGACTGCTTCATTGAGGCTTCAGTCTTTGATATCTCTCAAAGATAGAAACTCTCTTGCTTTCTATTCTGCCTCTTATTACTGAGAGAGAGAGAGAATACAAAAGGTAAAGCAAAAACAAAATCATTCATCACGAATGCACTGCATGTATAGAACTTACATGTAGACTTTGTGGACATAAAAATCTAATAAAACTGCTCTTGGCTTAGGCACAAAAAGTTACATGCACTCTACATTCATTACCAAACAGTGCAATCTGAGAAATTAGCAAATTAATGCTTAGCCTCTACTAATGCAAGTATATGTACTTTAACACAATATAGTTGTGATTCAAAGTACTGTCTATCTGGAAATTTTTACTGTGATTTAAATTTTACTGAATTAGAATTTAGCAAAAATTAGATCACCCATATAACTACATGCCACATTTAATAATACATGACACAGTCTTATTTAGTAAAAATTAAATCACAGCACAATTTTAAAACACAAAAAATTTCTACCACACTAATTTCCCGATCTACAGTATATTAAAATTGCTATACACAGTGGACCATGTGTTTAAACTACATGTATATGTACATGTATATAGTACTTACCAGACAAAGCAGATTACTATTATAGCAATGACTGCTAGTATGATGAGAAATATGACAACAAAAATGGGGACTAGGATGTAGGCCAGATTTAACGGAGTGGATATTTCTGAAATAGAAGAAAGAAAAATTATAAGTAACTTTTATAAACTCAAAATAACATTTAGTTATTATTTATTTGTTTGTTTGTTTGTTTACCAATTGTGTTGCTCATAGGACTATCTCGATATGGATTTTCCTAAAAATAAATAATTCAAAATTATACTTAGAATCATTATATCCTTCTTTCCATCCTCTTCCTTTCTCTCTCTCTCTCCCCCTCTCCTTACAGGATCAGAAACAGAAGAGTATAGCCTTATAAATACCCTGTAGGACTTCCCTGATTCAAACGGAGCATCAAGATAACTCGCACCACGATCAAAACTATAAATGCTTCCAGTGCCAATAGTGATGGTAGTGTTCTGGCTGCTATGATAGTGGAGTCCAGTGACATAGTAGTTATACTGCCTCCACGAGTTATCAGAATAGCTGTAGAGAGTAGATTCGGGGATTGGGCCATTCACATTAGGCGATGTCACGACTATTATCTTGTAGATACTAAAGCAAAGCAAGGAAAAAAAATAGAGCAAGGTTATAGTATGAGGGTTTTTAATACGAATTTTTTTTGCTTTATTCGGCTTCATTTTGCTCGTATTTTGCGCCAAATTATTACTTTTTTCTCCATTATATTGTAAAAATTTTAAATGATCAAATAAATGGACCAATCTCTCTCTCCCCCTCTCTCTCTTTCTTCTCTTTATAATATTCATTTTATCTAAAATATGAAGTGTTACATGTAAGTGCTAACATACCCCAATTGTCCATAGCTGTAAGAGAAAGACCCCACAAGGACGTTGAGCCTGTCAGAGTGCTCAGTGTTTTCAACTAACGTAGGAGCAGCAAATGGAGCAACTGCAAGAGAAAAAATAACCAAAAATAAATGGTACGCATGTTTTAATTTTTTTTGCTAATTTTCAGAAAATTACAAATAAATTTTAATCACAAAAATATTGAGTTTCATGGAGACAAAAATAGCTTTTTTGAAAGTAACTTTCATGGAGTTTTATATAGCACATTAAATACATTTGTATACTGTATCCACAATTTCCACATACATGTAGCATTAAATTTGCATTGTAATTTTATTTATTTATTTATTTTATTTATTTAACACTTTACAGGTGTAGTAAAAAGAAAGATAGAGAGACAGAGGGAAAGAAGGAAAAGGGGTAGCCTGATGGATATGCAACAGAAAAGCTGCATACCATTTTGATTGATACAAAAGCAAATCTTCATTGTACATTATGTACATGTAGCATTATAGCAAAAAAAGATATCAAAATCACAAATACAGGTATCATTTATTACTCATCATTTTTACTATCATTACCTCCAGCATAAGTCGAATTAGTGATTTCTGCTTCATTTCCAAAGCCAGCTGATGTCTGAGCTTTTATCTTAAAAGTGTATCTCACATCTCCAGTCAATCCTGATACTCTAATAGATCTTATGTCAGGTAATATACCTCTTATAGAATCTCCCGCACGATCTCCTTCCCAATCAATCTACAGAGAGAAAGGGAGGGAGAGAGAGAGAGGGAGAGAAAGAAATGAAAGAGAGAAGTGAGAGGTAGATTAAATACAGGTACCGTATATTCTTAATTCTACCATGCCTAGTTGTAATTGACCAATCAGATTGCTTGGTTGTAGGTTCATAAATAACTAACTTACCTCTGATTTCCCGGGAGGTTAATAAATAATTTCCCGGGAGGTTGAATAAGTAGCCCGGGAGGTTGAATAAGTAGCCCGGGAGGTTGAATAAGTAAATTCCCGGGAGGTTGAATAAATAATTTCCCGGTAAATTAAATAATACGATTAATTGATTACATGTGTATTTTAAATTATAGTTTTGTGTTATTTGGTATTGTTTTAATAGTTTATAGTAATATTTGAGCAGTTAGAGAGGGTAAATGTAACAGTATCTGCAGTTGATCTTTTTTTGCTTGGTGGTGGCTCGTAACTGTTTTCCTTATCTTCAATTAGTGCAACCTTTCGTTCATATTCTTTGTTTAATACTGATGAAACTTCTTT